ATCGGATATCGGCCAAAATCCCAATATCGTGCATCCCTAATACTCGCGCTACTATTGAGCAATGCCAGACCGAACTTCCCGACCTCATACATTGTGGGCGGGACTACGTTCGGAATGGCACCCAGGCTAGCTCATAGTATCTATCAAACTAAAACCTTAAAATTACACTTTTCCTCTTTTTGCCCCTTTTCTCTTAAAAAATTGTGGTTTCCAAGGTTTTTATGGAATTTACTGTGACATACAGCAGAATAGGCAATTATTTTTTTTTATAAAAAAAAAAGAAAAAAAGGAAAAGCAGAAAAATGACATACTGTGTCCAGGTAACAGTGGGCTCAGGGAAGCCATCTGCATCACAGGCCAGCAAGACACCATCCCCAACATCCGCTGTGGCATTGACTTCAGCTTTCCTCGGGCGGATTGTAGGAAGGACTATATTAAGAAAAAAGAAGTTCACAATACATGTCATTAAAACCCACACAATACTCAACTGTAATCATGACTTACTATTATTTTTTATTTTTTTTCTACAACTATTGATTTGTATTTATGAAAAAAAAAAGTTTGTGGTGGTTACTTAAGTGTTGGGTACATTGAGGGATGATTTAGATTAAATGCTGAAAAATCTGGAGTGCAGTCCAAGTACCAAAAAGTATTGCATAAGGAAAATAAAATAAAGTAACACCTACAGATTCAGAGACACACTGAGCACATTTGTCTGCTTTGCAAAAACAGAAAGTGAGACAGAGTAGGACAGGGGGACGGATGCACAACACCGTGATTCACATCTTCAGCTTTAAAAGAGCATGATTCTACTGACAGACAGTCATCCTAATCATACGCCGCCATTATGGGCAAAGTAGCGACTCATTGGGAAACTGCTCATGCTGAGCGCCAAAGCAGACACAGATGGAATGCTTACCATTAACGATGACCTTTATCATCCGGAAGTCAATTTCTCCCCTGGTATTAACACGAGCTTCACAAGAATACGTTCCTTCATCAGCCTTCTTGATGCCACGTATCACCAGGTGGCCATTTTCCATGAATTTGTAACGGACTTAAAGGGGGAAGAAAAAAAGACAAATACAGAAACAAGTATTAGCATTTAAAAAATATTCAACACTGCTACTACTTGGAAGTAACAAAAAAAAGGTGAAAATCAAGTATGTTCAGCATGCAAGTGTACATAAACAAAAAGTATTTCAAAAATACATTAAATATACCCTTTTTTTTTCGTTTCATATACCCAAATCGTAAAGTTATTGTAATGTAATAACAGAAATCAAAAATGCACAATGGCATAAAAAAGGTTAAACACACAAAAGTAATCTGTTAGGATAAAGAGAAGGATTTTTATAGAAGCATTTTGTTAATTATCAACTCGAATTTGATTGATGTTTTTAAATACCACAAGATAATAAAGCATACTGTTAAAAAAATATATATATACATAAGACAATATATGTATTTTATATATAAACCAGTATATATAACCAGTATTCATTGATTAGACTGTATATACAAAGCTGTATTCCTGCTAATATTTCTACAAAACTTGATATTGCATGAAATATCCCCAATCATGAATGATACTTCATCATAAATCCTGCTTTCTACCAGCTGCAAGTGCCAGAACTTACACTTAAAATAAAACTAATTCCATCACCAACATTAACTAAGCAGCGAAATTGCAGATCCTTCTTCCCAAAGGCTTTTAGACTTGACATCCTTCACTGCTCATAACAAACTCAGTTAATGATTACATCCTTGCTGTTTTGCTTTTTTTTTTTCATTTTAGTAAATAATCTGTTGCTTTTTTCTTAAATATAAACATACTGTACATGTAAGTTTTCAACTTTTAGATTTTTAACCTTTTTTAGATTACTACTTTTTTTCCTTCCTTCCCTTATTTTGTAAATTTGCACTTTCTCTACATGCTATGGTTGTTTTATTTTAAAAACTTTATTTACTGAAAAACAAAAATCCATAATGAGAGAGATAATTGTTTGAATAGTACTGCGCGGTCTGTACTTCTGTGAGTAAATATACTACGTTGACATGTAGAGCGTTAAAATTACATTTGTGTCATAACTTTTAAAGTCAATGGTAGGATCGCATTGGACGTTAATAAGAAGTTGTTTTAAAGGAATAGTACACCCAAAACATGATTAGCCTTCATTTTCTACTCACCCCCATGCTGAACAACTCTCTGGAGTACTTTTTTGATATCTCAAATGCATCTGGAGATCTGGGAGGCTTCTTGCTGTCTGCTGACATTCAAATAATGGAGGTCTATGGT